TACCATGCTTATAAAAACATTCCTGAATTTGTATTATTATTTTATAATAACGTATTATTATTTACAATTATTTATATAAATGTAAACAACAACCACTATATAAGTATATTTGACTATATATCTAATTACAAACACAAATGTAAGGTGAGCTTAAATGAATTGTACTTCATTCGAGCTCCAGAAAAAGTCAATATCTTCGTCCAGACGCGGAAAAAATATAATGGTTTTCACATGGACTCGAAAAAAGGGCATAGCTTTCGTCTGAGCGCGAGAAAAGGGCATAGTTTTCGTCCAGACTGCGGAAAAAGGCATAGTCTTCGTCCAGGCTTCGAAACAGGGCATAGTCTTCGCCCGGGGCGTCGATGTATGAGTGTAAATTCTAAGCGTATCAAGTCATCTTGAAGATTTTTTTCGTTTTCAAACCTTTTGTCAAACTCAATGAACTTTTCTTGACCTTTTATGGGCAGTGATAAGTCATATTTATCAATCATGTCTTGTAGTGTGAAGACATCGCAACGAATTAACAATCTCTCATCTAATTTGGTTTCAATTACTGTCAGACGTAAGTGCAATCAAACAATAAATATGTAGTAGCAGTTTTACTTGAAAAACACTCAACTTTTTAAATTTTAATCCATAATCCATACCTGCAGAATGTAAAAAAATGCATTTATGCAAACTCCATGACAAGGGAGGTGGAAGACCTCCTTGAACGATGTTTTTTATTAATAGCAAATCTTCTTCTCCGTATCGAGGGTCTAGGTACCTACACATAAAGACTTTTGTGCTCTTATTTGTATCAGTAAATCTTACTGGTACAACAAGTTTATTGTTGAGCTCGTCGTGTGGCGAATCAAAGAATCGGACGACCAAGAAGTCAGTAATCTTGACAAATACTTGAGACATCTTAAAATTCGTTTTTGTAACTTTTTATACAAAATTTACATCTAACTTATGAAGCGTACCACTTGAGATTCAAAGCAAACTTGAAACCTTTCAAGTGAAACTAAATATGGTCATGCTTTGAAAAATGTGTTTTATTAGAATGTAGAAAGAAAAATTATTCACCTTGAAATGATGCTTAAGCTCTTTCACTTTATCACAGGACAATACTGAAGTGCCAAGTGAGACATAATGATAGCAGAAGCTAATAAGTTACAGTCAACTTTGAATAAAAAGTTTATACATAATGATTTGAAGTATAAATAATTTTTAGCACGTTAAAATGCTTTTTTTCAATTAACACAGAATTCTGTAGTCAACTTAACAAAAAGGATAAGTTGTATCCACCCTACTCTTTTGAAGAATAAAATAATTTAAAAAAAAACAGACTATTTACAATTATGTATAAGCAACGTTAGGCAGTTCCCATGTGCAGAAGGGGCAAAACGTAAAACTCACCAGGGTCAGTTGGTACCTCAAAAATGTTCAATAGTGCCATTTTACAAGAAACATCTGTAAGAGGTGCACTGGTAACAGCATTACTTTCTTCAACAGAAAACATCTTTAAAGCACTAGATTTAATTGGTGGGTCAAAAGCATTTCCAATTATTTTCAGCTGTTTACCTCGTATGTTAATAATTGAAGTGTTCTGACACTGTGCAGTCATCTCAAAAATATTTATTACATGCCCATTCTTTAGGAGAACAGTATTATTAGGCCTTTTTGTAGAAATTTCACAATTATATAATTTTAAGCATTTCACCTTGATTTGTTTATTTTGTGACTTGACACCACTCAAAATTTTTATCACTTGGTCACAGCATTTTTCCTTTCTCTCTTCTTCTGTAAGGTACTCGTCCTCAATAAATCTGGAGAGCTGCTCCAATGGTCTGTTACCACTTCTTAAATGACGACACACTCTTGCCAGTTCATTTTCAAACAAGTAGGCACTTGTATCTTTAAGACAACATTTCTTGTTTTTAATATCATGAACTATGTGCAGTAAACTATGCAAATTTTGTACGGTAATATTATCATTGTAAATATCTGGAGCACACTCAACAAATGTTTGTCAGTATTTTTCAGCGTTGCTATTAAATTTCAAACAAAGATCTTTACGTTATAGTATCCTGGATATACTGAATAATGCAAAATGATTTAATTTCAGAAATGGTAGTATGTCTTTTACTACTCCGTTGTGATGTTTTATCCCCCTTGTTTCTAAATGATGTATTAGATTTCATTGAAGCGTTTTTACATGTTGTTGAAAATAAGGTTCTATTATTTTTCCTAATACCAAGATAATCACACCTTTCACAACTATGAAACCCAGTATGCTCTTTAATTCTTTTTAAATAAGCTCTGGCGGGCATATCACACACGAAGCCCATCAGCTGGATTTGAAAATGATTATTCTGTATGTACAAAACATTTTGTAACAGCTGACTCAGTTCTTCAATAAACTTATTTAAGTAAAGTTCCAGAGACTTAGGTTTACCTCTTCCATAATGTGCACATACCATAAAAGGTTTATATGCCCTAGGATGAGT